AGACTTCTCTCCCTCCGAAACACAGGAGGCCCAGTCTTGCTCGTATTATTAATAATTTCATACGTGTCAAATTTTGTTAAATACTCCCACAGAAAGTGCAAAAAATGCCGAATATAATAAACAGGCCGGAACGATCGATTTGCTATCTTCTCGTGAAATCAGCGGTGATTAAGAGTTATGGCTCGCTCTCCCGAATCGCGACATGTAATTCCTGTTCCCGAATGAGAACCGCTGCCGGCATCCCGGAGCCAGTGACGCGAGTAAACCAATAACGCGTCCGCCACGCCGGGTGCCAGATTCAAATCCGGCAGGGACCGAAACGGTATTCCACGACGAAACGGATAGCGGGGGCTCCGCAGGACATTTCGAATCCGTCTCCGCGTCCTGCGGGCTTTACTGGTTTGTCGAGCCATTGGCTCGATTCGGCAATTCCGCGCGCGTTCGACTTTCCCGCGTAAGAGGACGAATGCGATTGGTCGCCTACACAATTTCGCACATGCAAAACTGTTGCTCCCGCGTAATCTATTTAATCTGGCAATTGCCACACTCGCGGCCGAGGAAAGAGCAGACGACACTTCCCCCGCCAAGATAGTTGAGAAGATTTGAAAACGTCCGAAAATACCGCCGAGTAAAATCCTAAAACTTTATCATTAACGTCAAATATGGATTTCAACAACTACTATAAAAAGTAAAAAAAACACGAAATTTATTCAGTTATTATATTATAGATTTAAAAATGGTCGATATATCGCGAGCATGAAAAAGGTCATTCGCAGTAAGTTCGCCATAATCAAAAATTTACCAAGTTTATCAGTGCATAAGAAATTTTGTCGTGGCGGACAACCACGTGTCTTCAATATACACGAGCAAAGAAACGAAATAAAAAAAATCCCTAAAGTCTGATTAACGTAATAATCCACGTAACGGATATCTTGTTTGCGCAACTCACGTCTCGATAATGTTACGTCGTAACGATCGGCGAAGAGCCGAGTGCAAGCAGGAAGTTTCAAGCGCGCGAGGCGTACGCTTTTCGATTTTGCCTAACTAAATCGGGCAAGGTATATATGTATATGTATATATCTCGAGTAAAGTTGTTAGGACAAGGTGAAGAAGTCCGCAACAGGGCAAGCCTCGTTCCGGCGTCTTCGCGAAGGAAGCGAAAGGAAGAGGAGGAGACTCGCGAGAGGAAGGAGACCGAGATATACGCTCGTTCCACAGGGTGTACGAAGCGTATCCAATTTGATGGCATTACAATAACGGGGGTAATGTCTGAGAATAATGAAATTTCCCCCAATCACCACGACTCGCCTAGAATACGTTCCTTCGTTCCGTTCGTATCTCCTCATTCTCTCTCTCTCTCTCTCTCTTGCCCCCCTTCCTCCCTTTCCCTTCCCTCTTCATCGAACTGAGGTCTTCCATCGTCTACCACACGCACACGGATGGACATGTACAGGAGGACCAGGGAAAATGAGTAGAAACGTTTTCGAATCAATCCCGTTCGCGAGTTATTTCGCTCCCCATCGGAGGAAAGTCGAGGGATCCTCGAGTACTTCCGTTCAAGAAATGGATTCTGGTCAAAAGTTTTCGAATGTGACGACAGTTACGAAAATTCTATGCACTCCCGCGACATTACGATATTACGTAATGCGATGAAAATTCGAACCTACCAAGTTTTTTGTTTTCAAAATTTCCCCAACTTCAAGAAGCGAATTTCAGAAAAAATAGTACGTTGTTCAATAGCACAAATAGCGTAAAAGAACATGAAGTATTGTATTAGAAAATGCTTTAAAGCAAACCACACACATCTATGTTATTTTCAAAGGGTATAAAAGGTATAGAATTTAAACTATCGCGATTGCAAAAAGAGTTACGTTTTGCGATAGCGTCGTTTAGGTGATACAATTCTTAAATCGCATCCATTCTTACGCGCGCCGACGTCGTTGCAACGAGACGGTAATCCACTTTAAAACGATGAAAAACGACAAAGTATCGGGAGACTTTGAACGCGAGATCGAAATTCCTTTTGACCGCTCGTCGTTTCGTTCGTTCGACGCCTCGTTTCGCCTCAACGTGGGCGCAATAATTCTCGAGCGAACTGTACGTAATGGAATATTACACGGGCCATTAAAGAAACGTTAATCTTGCCCACAACAAGTTCAGAAGCGCTCGCAGGATGCTCAAACGCGGCCGGGATTACGCGCCGGCTTTGATCCTCCAACGCCCCGAAGGCGCGCACCGGAGTCCGCAGCCTCCTGTAATTTGTTAAAACGCGAAATTCTGTGACGTCGCTGTTTGTGTCGGCGTCTCGTACCGTTTAAAAGTCACGCGGCTCCTTTGACGACTTGCCATAAAAACATACTTGTTATTTAATATTACATCGATCATTCTTCCACTTTTCATTAAATTCCCTCTTTACGTAAATAGTCGAAAAGATTGCGATTCCCGAACAGACGGATTAGTTAAATGTTTAAAAAATATATCGATTCCAGGATTATTAACTATTACGAAATTAAATATCGTATTTACGTAATAACAATAAATAAACAAGCAAATGAGTGCAGAAAGTGACGTGAAACCGTGAGAAAGCAAGACTCAGAAGGAAACATTTTAAGAAGTCTTGTCAATCAAATAATTTGCTAATCTCTTCTAATTTGTTTCTTCCATCCACCAATGTCTTTTTTGCTACATCATTTGAAGCGACCACAACAGCCAGAATTGATTGATGTTCAATAACAGTTTTGTTTTAAATAAGTTATTATAAAATGTTACATCATGGAGAACTCGCTTTCACAACGATCAAGCTGCATCGCACGTTTTGCGAATTGTTTCAAACGGATCGCTTCAGTCCAGCCTCCTCGACGTGGATACTAAAATTTTCGGGCTGAGGCGACGTGCTATAAAAAAAGCTGCGGATAAACTCTCGACGGCTTTCTTTCACGGGTAAGAGCGGGCCTTTGACATTTTCTCTCACGTCGATAAGAATGCTCTCTCGGTTCTGCCGTCATCCTTTCTCTTCTTCTTACCCCTCCCAAGCAGAGACTTTCTTCCGTGGCCTCTTCGTGAGGGTGACTCGTGTACACCTCGGCGCTATTACGAAGGCGCGAGGGAGCAAGTCAGCCAGCTCCGGGTAGGGAAGACGAGATGAGGACGAAGGAGACGCGACAGGAGACGAGGAGAGGCGGGGGGTGCGGGGCGACGTGGGAGAAGGAGGGTAGAATTTAGCGACCCTCTTTCGCTTTTTACCCTAAGCGAGTCGAGAGCCCCTTAGCCACCGTTTATTGGACGCATGCAAATATCCATGGCAACGGCGGTACCGCGCCGTATACGGGAAGAACCAACCCCGCCGTCGAGAGCGCCGAACGTGCCGGTGTACGCGAGGGCGGGGAGGTCCTTCTTTCCAGGTCGGAGAAGAAAAGTGAAAAGAGAAAGAGAGATGTCAGGGAATTTCCTTTTGATCCGCGCATCGCCCGTCCTCGAGCAATCTCTTAATTGATTCTACGGGAATCGATATTCTTGCGCGATCTGGACGCTCGACTCGGTTATCAGACGCACGTGTTTCCGCTGGTCGTCATACGTGGCCCGAGTCCCCGCAGATTTCCCAGCTGGAGATTTAAGAACTACTTTCGCGTGTTTACTTAATAAAGACACTCGGATAACTTCTGAGCTGTGGACGACTAAGAATCAACGAGTTAAATCTCCGAGGCGCGGGTGAATAAAGAAACTTAATCAATTTCCCCGCGAATTTACTTTACGTCTCCTCGAATTCCTTTATTATCCTAACTAAAATTAACGTTCCCTGCTCGCAAAGTGACGTATGCGAAAAACAATTATTCAAGTTATCACAATGTACCGAAACGTGGCTAAAACAGAAGAATATTATTGATTCTCCGTGCCCATGTTAATGCGCTGTAATCGATCAGAGGCATGATACTTTAATGATAGACCATCAGCCCACATGGAGTGCGATCGCGAGACCGGAAGAACGACTCGTGTTGGGGGAGCGACGGCTCGTCGGGGCGGAACCGGTTAACGCCAAATCGTCCGTCATTCGTTTGCGCGATTAACCGCCTCGTGTTAACAACATCGGCCGCGCCGCGACAAGGGGAGGAGTCTGCACGTCGTCCTGGTCGCGCGCGCCCGCCCGAGTCCATCGGCTCGCATAAACATCCTCGGTACAACCAGCCGCCACCCCACGGAAAACTGATTTCCATCCCCCCATCCCACCGCTCCCGCTATCTATGTAAATGCGGTCCTGTTTTGTGTGAGTAGACAAAGCCTCCGTTGACAATACGCCTGCGCGTTTACAACCTCCACCCGCCGAGCCGAAAGTCAGGCTCCATTACGGCTGTTTTGCGACGCGCTTTGTATTGTCGTCGCCGCCGCCACCGCCGCCGCGCCGCGCGGCACCGGCTCCTCCGCGAAAACTTCTGTCATTTTCGTCGGGCTGTAACCGGCTACAACCACGAGTTTTAACTATGGATTAATGAAGAGTTGACGTTTGACGGAACCTTACTTCATCTTCGCTTATTCACAAAACGTCGCCTAACTTTGATCTTGGTTTAACTCATGTTTGTCTCTTTCTAGAGTAACAGTGGGAAAGAGACGGACAACGATTTAAGCTGAGCTTAAAGTTAAGCGACGTTGGTAAAACCGGGCCTTGCTGTCTTCGATACTGCGACTGACGCAAAAAATAACGCGAAACTTCGATAGCAGAATAGTCTTCGAGGAAGGAACTGATTTGTCATTGTAAAAAATTAATTTTCAAAGTTTGCTTACAAAGGAGATAGTTGTGCGTTTCTTCCTATTGTTCTGTGTCTAATGATTACTATAATTCATTTAGAACTAGCGTGACGGATGGATACTTTCAACTGTATTATCACATAATTCTGTTGGTTATAACAACGATGATGTATTGGCTAGTATAAGCGACAATTTCCATTAGTCTCGACAATAAGAGAACGATAAGAGAAACCATCGAATGGAATGTAGGTCGTACTTACGCTCGGAATGTTGTCGTTCGTGCACACGCCCTCCTGCAACAAGCGATCTCGGATCTCCCACGCGAAGATGGACGGGCACTCGCCTTTGTAGAGCGAGATCTTGTTGACAACCTCCGCCGTCGCTACGCGCGGTTTGCTGCCGCCGATGGCCCTGGGCCTTATAGATCCGGTCTCATAGTACCTACAATAATAATAATTTGCGGTACAATGCGGTAGGAATACACTATTGAGAATGAAACACTAACCCATCTATCTAAACACGCTATTCGCTAAACCATGGCCTAAATAGAGCCACACGATGGACGCGGATCTGGTACCGAACAATATACCTTGATTGCTTCTTATGCAACAGTTGCCGAATACAGTCAAATGTTTGATCGACCCACTTATACTTTCTTATTGTTAGCCAATTTAGGCTCCGTCGTAATTTTGTGTTACGTTCTCTCGACTCTTTACTCTGCGAGAGTTACATTTGTACGATTTATGCACGACAGACGGACATGCGATTTCGCGCGAAGGTAGCGATTCAAGATAAAATTTTGGATCGAGACGATATACGACGCAACTGTTGAATTCATTTGTACAGCGATGAAAATCGGCGCGAGGACGCGTTACGGAACAAGCAATGCTGCAACCAACCTGCCGAGGATTTTGGAGACACAGCCGTTGCTGACCTGCAATATCCTGGAGATATCGCATGGTCGCGCGCCCGAATGCGCGAGCTCGACGATCTTTTGCCGCGTCGAGTCCGGAAGGGGTCGACCGCCGACGAAGACACCACCCAGCTGGTTCACCCCGCTGTGCCCTGTGAAACGGCAAGAAGTTGTATGATTAGTCTTCATTTGGCTCCGAGAACTAAATAACAGCGAATTACTAGGTGCAACAAATCGCGATTAGCAACGAGTTGCGATAGCAACAAATTGTCTCTCTTTCGAATTACCGTCTCTTCTCGCGCTCTCTCGATCTCTTCCCCGGTTTTTTTTCTCTCGCTTTTCGGGCGCACGACGCTCGCGTAAGGGGTGTGGAAAATTCAAACGCTCCACCGCCTTCGGAGACTTTTTCGCATTTCGGCGAACAATACCGCTGTCGCCATAGATCATGTATTTTCCCTCCTCTCGTCCGCGGAGACTCACCCCGGAAACCCGAGAGGAGAGGAGAAGACCGCGGCCGGCTCTTCTTTCTTTTCTGACTCCGGCGAAGGGAGACGGAGGACGAGCGCAGGGGGTTGGCCGCGAGCGTCGTAACGTCAGCGAATCCCATCGTAGATAATCTTCGACTCATTGTGCCAGTGACAAGGCAGGCACACACGCCGATGCGGGACACTCGAGAGGAACGCCGGAGCGTGGTGTGTTCCCTCGCGCAGATATTTTATATTCCCGCGATTGTCGCACGCGGAAGCCGTATCTCAGGGTGACAGAGTGGAGCGCCACGCCCTAATTTTTCTCGATAGAGAGTCTGCCGTCTTCGAGGAAAGGGGACAATTTCGAAGTAGATCGTAGGAAATAGATAAGTGCAACTATGAACAATGCGGATGATAGTAAGGCTGCGTGTTCTCGGAGAATTCTCTACGTAGCTAGAAAATTAAGCTCTAAAGTACGCAAGAGTCTATCGTCCTGGAGGAAAAAGTACAATTTGACAGTACACCGTAGGAAATAAGACTGTAGGAAAAGATAAGTGCAACTATGAATAATGCGGATGATAGTAAGACTGCGTATCTCGGAGAATTCTGTACGTAGCGAAAAAATAAAATTCTCATGTATGCAAGAAGTGTGTAGGATTAAGGGGATGCTGGAGTGATTCTGCACTTTCGCACCTTTTGCACTTAAAACTGTCTGTTTCGTGGAAAGATTTGTGTAATACACAAATTAAATGGCACGTGTACAGATGATCGAAAGCAGCTTGCTATTCCGGCTA